AGCCCATGTTGCAGATGCAGGTGGTGGGGGTGGTGGAGGGGGAGGGAGTGAGAAGTTATGCATGTCAAACCCGGGAGGAGGGAAGGGATACTGTGGCATCATAGGACCGTCCTGTCTCTGGGGTGGAAATCCTGAAGTCTCCTGAGGTACCATGTGCTCTGAGTTATAAAACTGTGGAGGTGGGGGCCTGCCAGGACAAGACCGAGGATATCTGCCCCGGGAAAACCCTCGTGTGAATTCTCTGCTGTGATATCCTTTTGAAGGCTCTGAAGCAGAGTTATGAACATTCCAATTCTGATGTACTTCTGCAAAATCTTCACCTTTGGGGAAAAAAGCATAAAAACAAAATTAAAATTAACTGTAATACATCAAAAAACACTGTTTAGGGGCTTCCCTGGTGGTGCAGTGGTTGAGAATCTGCCTGCTAATGGGGACATGGGTTCGAGCCCTGGTCTGGGAAGATCCCACATGCCGCGGAGCAAATGGGCCCGTGAGCCACAACTACTGAGCCTGTGCGTCTGGAGCCTGTGCTCGGCAACAAGAAAGGCCGCGAATAGTGAAGAGGCCTGCGCACCGCGATGAAGAGTGACCCCTGCTTGCCGCAACTAGAGAAAGCCCTCGCACAAAAACGAAGACCCAACACAGACAAAAATAAAATAAAAAAATAAATAGATAAATAAATAAATAAAAGAATAACGCTAGAGGCTTCTATGCCCCTAGTAAGAAAAAAAAAACACTGCTTAGAATTTCAATAACGTCTTCTTTAACTTCCAGTATACCTTACAGTAATTACAATTTTATAAGGCTTAAAATTATCAATTTTAAATGAATCCAAAAGGCCAGAGATCAGGTAAGGGAAAGCAAGACAAAACTTTGCGATGATAACCAGTTGATTTCAGTCAAACACCATAGAGAAAACTGGACAGGAACCTCACTCACATTCTCAAAGGCTGAGTAAGGGGCCTGGCTAGCCCTCCCAACCAGGGTGGTCAGAAGAGGTTGAGCAGGGAACCAGTTTCCAGCCTCCCCTCAAAGACAGTGGAGACCTCATGGGGAACCTGGACTTGCATCCCCACCAGCAGTAACACAGTGTTCCTCCACCTCCTGTACTTGGGGTGGAGTCAGAGAAAACCCAGGAGAGTCAGGACTTTCATCAGTGCCCAGCATAACAAGGCCATCCCCCATGGTGTCAGGAGCAGTAACGAGGCACTCTTACCCCGACCAGACACAAAAGGAGGCCTGCCCGGAAGCACTCTTACCCCCACCAGACACAAGAGGAGGCCTGCCCATGTGTAGCAGTAATGATTCACCCTCAGCTTCAGATGTCAACAGAAGTTATAAAGAAAAGCTTAACTCCTATCCCCACCTGGTAGTATTAGTAATAACGCAACCTCCCTCCTTTCCCCACCAGAACAGTTTTAAAAACAAAAACAGCATAATAACTAATATGTCCACGTTTCAATTAAAAACCACTCGTCATACCTAGAACCACAAAGATTTGAAACTCAATGAAAAAGGAAAACTGAGGCCAACATCAAGACAAAGATGTTAGAATTATCAGAGAAATCTTTTAAAGTAGTCACCATAAAAACACTTCAATAAAAAATTAGGAACACACTGAAACAAGTAAAAAATAGAAAGCCTCAGCAAAAAAAAAAAAAATATATACAAAGAAGAAAAATAAATTTCAGAACTGAAAATTTAATAATCAAAATTAAAAAGTGAAGGGAGGGCTCAACAGTAGAATGAAGGGACAGAAGAAAGAAGATAGAACAATGAAAAGTAGTCTGAAAAGAAGAAAGGAAATAAACTGGGGAAACAATGAACAGAGAGCTTCAGGGATCTGTGGGACTGTAACAAAATAACTAATATTTACATCTTCAGAATGCTAGAAGGAAAGGAGAAGAAAAATGAGGGAGAAGATGTACTTCAAGAAATAATGACTGAACAGTTCTCAAATATGGCATAAGACATAAACCCCCAGATTCAAAAAGCGAAATAGATTTCAGTCAGGATAAACCCAAAGAAGTCTACACCAAGAAACATCACAAACTTTTAAAAACTAAAAACAAAGAAAAAACATGAAAGCAGAGGAAGAGAGAAATGATACCCTACCCACATGAAAAAAACAATTTGAACGACAGTAGATGTCTCGTCAGAAACCATGGAGGCCAGAAAGAAGTGGCACAACATTTTTCAAGTGCTGAAAGAAAACTGGCAATCTAGAATTCTATATTGAGTGAAAATACCCTCAGGAATCAAAAGAGTTTCTCAGACGAAGAAAAGCTAAGAATTTATCTCCAGCAGACCTACTCTAATAGAATGACTAAAGCAAGTTCTCTAAACCGAAACAATAAAAGAAAAGACATCCGGAAGGAAAGAAAAACATAGTAAACAAAAACAGGAGTAAATACAATAGAATTTCCTTCTGTGACTGAGTCTTCTAAATTATGTTTGATGGCTGGAACAAAAATTATAACCACTAATGTGATTCTTATTGTATACACAGGAAACATTAAAGCAATTTATATTATTAACAAGGGAAAATAAAGGGACATATAGAGAGGCAAGGTTTCTACACTGCACTCAAACTGGTAAAATGACAACAGCAGATTGTGATAACTTATGTATATAAAATTTAAGACCTAAAGCAACCATTGAAAGAAAAGCACACCAACTGATACAATCCACACCGCAGATAAATGCAAATGGAATTCTAAAAAATGTTACAGTAACCAAAAGCAGGCAGAAAAAAGACAACAGAGAAATAAAAACTAGAGAGAATACAGAAAAACACAGATTTAAAGCCCGAATATATCAATAATACAGTGGAGAAAGGACAGCCTCTTCAATAAGTGGTGCTGGGAAAATTGGACAGGTACATGTAAAAGTATGAGATTAGATCACTCCCTAACACCATACACAAAAATAAGCTCAAAATGGATTAAAGACCTAAATGTAAGGCCAGAAACTATCAAACTCTTAGAGGAAAACATAGGCAGAACACTCTATGACATAAATCACAGCAAGATCCTTCTTGACCCATCTCCTAGAGTAATGGAGATAAAAACAAAAATAAACAAATGGGACCTAATGAAACTTCAAAGCTTTTGCACAGCAAAGGAAACCATAAACAAGACCAAAAGACAGCCCTCAGAATGGGAGAAAATATTTGCAAATGAATCAACTGACAAAGGATTAATCTCTAAAATTTACAGGCAGCTCATGCAGCTCAATAACAAAAAAATAAACAACCCAATCCAAAAATGGGCAGAAGACCTAAATAGACATTTCTCCAAAGAAGATATACAGACTGCCAACAAACACATGAAAGAATGCTCAACATCATTAATCATTAGAGAAATGCAAATCAAAACTACAATGAGATATCATCTCACACCAGTCAGAATGGCCATCATCAAAAAATCTAGAAACAATAAATGCTGGAGAGGGTGTGGAGAAAAGGGAACACTCTTGCACTGCTGGTGGGAATGTGAATTGGTTCAGCCACTATGGAGAACAGTATGGAGGTTCCTTAAAAAACTACAAATAGAACTACCATATGACCCAGCAATCCCACTACTAGGTATATACCCTGAGGAAACCAGAATTCAGAAAGAGTCATGTACCAAAATGTTCATTGCAGCTTTCATTACAATAGCCCGGAGATGGAAACAACCTAAGTACCCGTCGTCGGATGAATGGATAAAGAAGATGTGGCACATATATACAATGGAATATTACTCAGCCATAAAAAGAAACGAAATTGAGCTATTTGTAATGAGGTGGATAGATCTAGAGTCTGTCATACAGAGTGAAGTAAGTCAGAAAGAGAAGGACAAATACCGTATGCTAACACATATATATGGAATTTAAGAAAAAAAAATGTTATGAAGAACCTAGGGGTAAAACAGGAATAAAGACAGAGACCTACTGGAGAACAGACTTGAGGATATGGGGAGGGGGAAGGGTGAGGTGTGTTAGGGCGAGAGAGAGACATGGACATATATATACTAACAAACGTAAGGTAGATAGCCAGTGGGAAGCAGCCGCATGGCACAGGGAAACCGGCTCGGTTCTTTGTGGCTGTCTGGAGGGGTGGGATAGGGAGGGTGGGAGGGAGGGAGACAAAGAGGGAAGAGATATGGGGACATATATATATGTATAACTGACTCACTCTGTTATAAAGCAGAAACTAACACACCATTGTAAAGCAATTATACCCCAATAAAGATATTAAAAAAAAAAGCCCGAATATATCAATAATTACATTAAATATAAATGGTCTAAATATACCAATTAAAACACAGATGTTGGCAGAGTGGATTAAAAAACATAACTACAGGGCTTCCCTGGTGGCGCAGTGGTTGAGAGTCGGCCTGCCGATGCAGGGGACACGGGTTCGTGCCCCGGTCCGGGAGGATCCCACATGCCATGAAGCGGCTGCGCCTGTGAGCCATGGCCGCTAAGCCTGCGCGTCCGGAGCCTGTGCTCCACAACGGGAGAGGCCACAACAGTGAGAGGCGCCCGCACCGCAAAAAAACAAAACAAAACAAAACATAACTACAATCTACAAGAAACATTTCAGATGATCCAGTCATGTTGAAAGTAAAAGGACAGAGCAAGCTACAATATGCAAACATTAATTAAAAGAAAGAAGGATTAGCTACATTAATATCAGATAAAACAGGCTTCAGAGCAAAGACTGGGACATTTTATAATGATAAAGGGGTCATCTACCAAGAAAATACAGTAATCCTAAATGTGCATGCCCCAACCACATGCTCTCTCTCAACAACTGACAAAACAGCTCTACAGAAAATCACTAAGGCTAGAGAAAATTTCAATACCACCATCCACTAACAAGATCTAATTGACATTTATAGAACACTCCACCACACAACAGCAAAATACACATTACTTTCAACTTCCCCAAATAATATTCCTAGATAGACCATATTCCATAAAACTTTTTAAAAAATGTAGAATTGAAATCATACAGATTGCATTCTCAACCCACAATGGAATCAAAAATAGAAATCAATAACAGAAAAATTACAGAAAAATCTCCAAACACTTGGAAACTAAATAATACTCTTCTAAATAATCCATTGGTCAAAGAGGATGTCTTAAGGTAAATAAAAACAAACAAAGGAACATTAAGCTAAATCACAATAAATAAAACACCAATATGTGTGGAACAAGTTTAAGCAGTAGTCTTAAATAAATAATATAAGCTCCCACCTCAAGAACCCAGAAAAACCAGAACAAAATAAACCCAAAGCAAGCAGAAAGTTAATGATAAAGAGCTGAAAGAATGAAACTGCAAACAGAAAAGCAATAAAGAAAATTAAATGACATAAAGAAATGGCTCTGTGAAAAAGCAACATAATTGGCAATCCTCTAAGCAAAACTGACAAAGAAATAGAAGACACAAATGATCAATATCAGGAAAGACATCAAAAGGATGTTAAGGCAATAATGTAAACAACTCTACACACATTACTTGACAAATTAGATGAAATGGACCAATTCCTTGAAAAACACAACCTACTATAATCTATGGAATGTGAAAAAGGTATCACTATTAAGGAAATTGAACTTGTAATTAAAAGTCTCCCAAAAAAAGATAACTCCAGGCTGAGGTGATTCACTGGAGACTTTTTACCAAACATCTAAACAATTAACACCAAATCTACAAAATGTTTTCAAGAAAATAATAAAAAAAAAATTCCCAAGTCATTTTATGAAGCTAGTAGGAAGCTTCTGCTGACATCAAAACCAGATTAAAAAAAAGAGAGAGAAAGAGGGAGAGGGAGAGAGAGAGAGAGGGAGAGAGAGGAGGGGGGGGGAGAGAGAGAGAGAGAGAGAGAGGGAGAAAGAAAGAGAAAGAAAGAAAGAGAAAGAAAAGAAAGAAATGAAAGAAAGGGAAGGAAGGAAGGAAGGAAGAAAGAAAGACCAATACTCCTCATGAATATAAACATAAAAATCCTTATCAAAATATGAGCAAAATTCAACAACATATACAAAGAATTATACACCACAGTTTATTCCTATGATGCTCATTCAATATTCTAAAACCAATGTAATCTACTTAACAAGGTAATGAACAAGTCATGTGATCTTATCAATCAATGCAGAAAAACAATTATCAGAATTTAAAATTTTGACAAAATTCATGATTCCTGAAAAAAAGCTCAGGGAAAACAGAACTAGACAACTTGATAAAGGACATCTACAGTACCCCTACACCTAACATTATACTTAATGGTGGAAGACTGAATGTTTTCTTCTATGACCAGGAACAAAACATACTTACTCAATATAGTGCCAGAAGTTATAGCTAGTAATGGTGAGAAAGAGAGCTAAATATGCATACAGACTGGGGCATTGTTCTTATCTGCCACTGACATAATTGTCTACATTGAAAATCTCAAGGGAGAAACTCCTAGAACTAGTGAGTTCAGCAAGCTCACAAGACACAAGCTAAACATACAAACAGTAATTGTATTTCTGTATTCTAGAAATGAACACATGAACACGAATTAAAAATGCAACACCATTTACAATGATTCCAAAAAAATGAAATACTCAGGTGTATATCTGACAAAAAAATGTACAGGACTCGCATTCTGAAAACTACATAATGCTGGTGAAAGAAATTAAAGATCTAAATTAATGGTGATGTGTACCATGTTTGTGGAAGACTCAATACAGTTAAGATGTCAATTTTCTCCAAACCAACATACAGGTTTAACCCAATTCCTATCAAAATCCTGGCAAGACTTTCTGTCAATACAGGGAAGTTTATTCTAAAATTCATATGGAAAGGCAAAGGAACTAAAATAGCTAAAATAATTTTGAAAACTTTCAGAAAAAAAAAAAGAGAGAGAGAGAGAGAAAATCTTTGGGATGTAGGTCTAGGAAAGAAATTCTCAGACTCCATAAAAGCAAAGCAGATAAACTGGGCTTCATCAAAATAAAAAAATTTTGTTCTGCAAAAGATCCTTTTATGAGGATGAAAACACAAGCTACAGACTGGAAGAAATTATGTATAAACTTTCATAACTCAAGAGTAAAACACAGAAATACAATTAGAAAATGGGCAAAAGACATGAACAAAAACATCACTGAAGAGATACACAGCAAATGAGCTCATGGAAAGCTGTTCAATATCATTAGCCATTAGGAAAATGCAAGTTAAAAATAACAATTACATATCATTACATACCTATCAGAATCGCTAAAATAAAAAATAATGACAATACCAAATGCTAGTGAGAATGCAGAAAAACTGGGCCACTCATACATACACTGGTGATAGGAACGTAAAGTGGTAAAGCCACACGAAAAACAGTATGGCAGTTTCTCAATAAACTAAACATGCAACTACAGTGGACCCTTCAAATTACATGTGTTTGAGCTGCACAGGTCCACTTATAAGCAGATTTTTCTCAATAAATACATACTATACTATCCAGGGTTGGCTGAATCCACAGATGTATAACTGCGGATACAGAGGACCGACTGTAAGTTATACACAGATTTTCAACTACATTGGGGTGTATGTGTGTCAGTGCCCCTGACCCCAAAGTTGTCCACTTGCAACTGTATCATATAACCCAACTGTACTCTTGGACATTTATCCCAGAGAAATGTGAAAATTTGTGTTCACATAAAAATCTGTGCACAAACATATAAAGCAGCTTTCTTCATAAAACCCCAAACTGTTAACAATCCGAACGTCTTTCAATGGATGCATGGTTAAACTACCTGTGGTATATTCACACCACAGAATATTACCCTGGAATGAAAAGAAACTTGATAAATACAACAATCTAGATGATTTCCAGAAAACGGTGCTCAGTGCCAAAACCCAATCACTAATTTATATAACCATCCTTGACAGGACAAAATATATCACAGAAATGGCACAAAGATCAGTGGCTGTCAGAAGCTAAGGAAGAGGCAGGAGGAGGGAAGTGGATGTGGATATAAAAAGGCAGCATGAAGACTTTCTTCTGTGATTGCATTATGTCAATAGGAAATAAAACACCTTGACTTTAGCTTAAGCACCATATCATTTAATTCCAAAAATGGAAGTAAATAGCTTTCTAAAAAAAAAAAAAAAAGTACTGATGAGTACAAATGATTCTACCAAGGCTTACTTTGCCTTTTACCCCTAGGAGCCATTTTTACATCCATGAGCCTGAAAAACCACCAATGAATATCCCCTGTGACTCTCCCACCACATCGCATGCTGTGTGTAATGCCTCCAATGCTAGCCAGATGCCAGAGCATAAAGAGAAGACCCCCAGATGTTTCCCTCAGTTTTATTACTGACGAACTTATATAGATGTAAACGAAGATGAAAAAATGACTATATATTACATTTAACTCACCTGGTTCATTAAATTCAGATCTGAATTTTTTCCGGCCTTGAATCTGAGATTTTTTTCTCTGTTTGGCTTCTTTTTCCTTTTCATCATCACTGAAATCTAAGGCCTTGCACAGAAAAATAGATTTACGTCACATGCATTTACCAATTCAATGGTATATATTTAACAGTGACCCTGACAGAAGAAAAGTTACCCTTTTCAATACTTAATATTTACCAGTAATATTCAAATCAGATATGATAGAAAAATAGTTTTTGATAAATGCCTAATGACTCTAACACAGAAGATGAGTACTGAAGATTTTTTTAGATTGTTTTGATTTGAATTCCTAGAAAGTTTCAGATAGGTAACTTTAAAATGCTGATCTTAAACACGCTTCAGATACGGGCATTCCCTAGCTAGAAATCTGACTTCCAGCTTAGAGTCACGATTCATCATAGTGCCAGCTGCCAAACAATTCGAAAGACAGGAGTAGTTAGGAATAAGCAAATACATAAATTATCAGATCTAATATAAAAATGGAAGTGAATATTATACCCTTCATTCATTCAAAAATTTACACACACCCATTATATGCCAGGCACTGTTTTAAACACTTTATAGGGATTAATTATTTTAATAATACAATGTGAGGTACAGTAAGGAATATAAATAAATAATAAGGCAAAGTAAGGGTGGGGAAAATCACTAGGATGCCCTTTGGATAGGACCGTAGGAAAAGGCTTTGATAAGTAGATACATGAATGACCCAACTTCCAAGAAGAAATCATTTTAAATTACAAGAGGGAAAATTCAGATGTTACTAAGAATTGGGATCCACTGTTACAGCCTACCAAAAACCAAGACCTATTAGCTATGTATAACTTCTATGATTTCTTGGAATTCAGGTATTTTACTATCCTATTAATTTCAGAAAATAATTACTATGTTTCGTTAAAAAAATACAAAAGCAGGGTCACTATGTATACATGTGTTCCCTAATTAAAAGGAAGAAATAAAATACATATGAAAGATTCTATATGGGATTTTCAGTATGGTCTTGCTGAAATATATTCTAGATTGAACCTTCCATGAACCAAGAGTTGATATGCCTCAGAATCTATAATCAAATTCAAAAACATCAACTAATTTTAGTACCTTGAAACACATGATCTTCTATTACTGATCTTTAATGTGCTAAAATTTTTAAGCTCATGTTAAATTTGGTATTGAGCCAGACACTCGAAAGTACTGAGATCAGATGGAAGACACTGCTTTCTCTGAAACGGTTCAAATGAGAAAACAGATAAATAAGCCAATAAACAAGTGCTATGACAGTGCTCTGGGATTATGGGGCAAAAGAGGAAAGAGGGCAAAGAAGACTTGATACGGGAGACCCAGGATGAATCTCTGACGATGAGTCAGCAATGAACAAGGAGAAGGAAGCTTTTGGTGGGTGGAGGATACATGCAAAGGCACCGTGTATTAGAGAAGTACAAATGGTTCTCTAAGGCAAAGCGAAAGCTTCTTACACAGCAAACTTTGAGACGATGAAATTGGAGAAGTTAACGAAGACCCTTATGGGGCCAGTTTAAATAACTGGACATTATCCTAAAAAGCAGGAGGACACCAATGTAAAGCAATTATACTCTAATAAAGATGTTAAGAAAAAAAAAAAAGCAGGAGGGATGTATTAAAGGATCTTAACGGGCAATAGTTTATTTTAGAGCGACTACTTTGGCAATATTTTGCTACCACCTCACAAAATCAGAGAAAAATTCACACTTTTCTTATTAATTTAAAATTAATTTAAGTTTGCATTCAGTGAACACATTTATTCAACTCAAATTATGTATTCATGTTAGAAACGGATGTGGAGATGAATAAGATGTATTCACTATTATGCTCCTTTATTCCAGTTCAGTATTTCCTATTTTCAGGGCATGATTTTTTTTTTTAAGTTTAAACCCCACAAATTCCAAATTCTAGTCTACAATTAAGAACAGGCAATAATCCTATACGACAAAATCTGATCATTATAAAATTTAGAATCTCAGAGTTTCTCATATTACGGAAATAGAGACATCCAGTCGACTACTTGGAAAAAAACAATTCCCATGAACTATGTTGTGATTTAATTTTAAAATTAACCCAATCAAATCAATTTTATAAACTATTAACAATTCCATAATTAACAACTTTAATGCTTAGGTCTAAAACAACAGGGATGTGTTAGAATATCTGGATTTCACAAGAAATATGTTTCAAGACCTTTGTGAATCCCCAAATACTTTTAAGATGTCTTGAACATAACTAAGAACATTAAGTGAATCTTGAGGGTCTTAGTGGAAATCACATGTACACATGACACAAATCAGAAAACATAATCCCATGGCAGTGTGGATACTAAACTAGGACTGCTCACTTGTTAAGTGACTATGTAAGTGGGCACTCCCTGACTGACGCTTCAGCAAAATCAGAAATTAACATAGACCATGAACCTTCAGCACTGTTTGAGAACATCTAAAATGACCAAAATTAAATCTGAAATACCAAGAATTTACAAAACTGAGAAACTTCATCAGAACTACTGAGCACATTTTAAAACTTCCACTTATAATAATTACAATTTTTCTTTTATATTGTATAAATTCACACTATTTTAATAAATGTATACATTCACTGCTGTAATTTTCATATTTTAATAACTTGAAGACCATATATATCAAGCTACTTTGAGACATAAAAATAGTCTTGCTGGCATGGATTTAAGAAAGAAATACAAGAACACTCTTTAGGGAGGTAATTATACTGTAAAAAATGGAGAAGTAGGTAAGACTGTAATGATTTTGTACCTCCAAAAGAAAGGCAGTTTATTAAAAGCACCATCAATAAATGTGATGGTGTATAATCACGTCCCACATGGTGACCTTACTAAAGAAAAACAATTTTTTTTAATAGTGACAATTCTGCCTTTCCCAGGCCTCAACGGAATTGATAAAAATAGGACATTTTAAGGAAAATGATAAGGTGATAATTATTAAAATGTGACTGAAAAATTTTTTTCCTGAAATGATCACAAACGTTGGGCAGTATAAAAGCCATCTGGGACAGGGGAGAGCACATAGGCTGGCAAAAGGCAGTGTGACTGGTGAGCAGCCTTGAGGACCTGCTTCAGGATTTATAAGATTGGATTCACAAGACTGATGGATTTATAAGATTGAGTCCTACCTTCCTCTCTCAAATACTGTGTAAAATGATGGATTTCTAAGATTGAGTCCTACCTTCCTCTCTCGAATACTGTGTAAAAACACTTATACGTGTACCTCTGGTGGTGGTTCTTGATCATTCTTCCATGATGCATCTGATCCCCTATCCCTAGGGGGGAAAACAAAGGTCAAAGGGTCAAGGTACTTACTAAGATTTTGTTAAGTGCTTATAACCTAATAGTATGGAAAATAATAAAGTAGAAGACCTAAGCTCAATCCTAATTTGCAATATATATGAAAATAAGAGCAAAGAATAAAGGCTCATTTCTGTGTTCTTTACCTCATTTAAGAAGACGTGGGAAAGGCACACATAAATATTAGGAGCGGGGAATCAGAATGAGAAGCCGAGGCTGTGCTGTGCAGGGCAAAGTGGTTCTGCAGTTCCTAAGTAGCTCCAGACGCTCTGACTTTGACTGATAGTTTCATGATACCTGAGCTCAGCTCATAAACTTCCTTCAATAGATGCTTAACCAATACCACAAGGTCAAAACGCTGTTCCAGATGCCAAGGACACAAAAATGAGTAAGAGGCATTCCCTTGTCTAAGACTTCACAGGTTCAACAACAGAGATCACAACATGAAATTCTTCTTCCTTGATTTACCTGAGGAATATCAGTGATCCTCCCTGAGTAACCAAGGCTTGCTCTAAGACTGACTCTCAAAGACGAGAGGGTGAGACAAAGGGCATCTAGTCTGGGAAGGAGGAGGAGCTTTGGAGACCCCGAAGGACAGTATCATCACAAGCATTAACTACTTTTGGTGGAAAGTTTTACACTCTATGACCAACAAAAGCACGAACATCTATTATAAGTACAATTATAATTTCTGAAACCTCATTTTAAATCTCATCTGGTTAATCTTCTTGATTTCAAAGTTTGACAGTATTTGTTATTCAATTACATTAAAATATTACAAGGTATTAGGAGATTTTGCCCTCCCTGCTTGAAACCAGATCTCAAAAATAAATGGAAGATTCTCAGGAATTAATTCATTAAAATCATTAATCCATTAATCCACAATCCATTAAAATCAATTTACAGATGTCTGTGGGCTGGCATGACATGAAATCATTAAGTTTGCTCTAAAATTTTAATTCAGAATTTTGACATTATATACGATTTATACCAATGATTTTTCTGCTTTTAATTATCATCTTACACCCATGCATTTATCATAGCTCCAGGACTCCTTTTTGTATGGATACCATCTGATGGCCTGCAGTGCCCTTAGTGTGGAATCTTAAAGGTGTAAATGGTAAAAGCTCCCCAAGTAGGGTATCACCACAGAAAACCAAAATCTACTATAGGAAAGATCAAGCAACATTTCAAACAGCATCTTTAACAAAAGACTTAGTTCATGGGAAGCTAAGATTAAAATAGCCTTACTAGAAGAAGGTAAGCTGGAGAGAAGCTGAACTTCTCCACCTCAAAGGCAAAGGAGTCTCCATGACTGATACAAAAAACGCAGTCTAGAACAGAAGCCTTTGTCAGGCTGGGTTTCTACAGGGTGGGCTCAATTTCCCAATTCTTTAGTTTCTTGTTCTTTCTTTCTAGGACAAAATTCTTGTTCTTGCAAATCAGTACAAAGACTGCTTCTAAAAACATCTTCAGAAAATATTTTCAACCTATCTACTTTTAGCTAAAATATTTTATCTGTTAAAAGCTAAATATATGGCACATCCAGAGCAACAGCCTAATATTCAAACAGAATGAAATGCTAATTATTTAAGGCATGATTTTAAAACATACTAAAACCTTTATGACTTTGTTGTCTATTTAATTCACCTTTCTTGTCAACATTTAGAAAAACTAACCTTATGCAACCTGAAGAACACCTTAAGTTCCTTCAGATAATCGTGTGGATTCTTAAACACAAGTTTAATCAATTATCAGGAATAAAATGTTCATCTCATTTCAGAGATTATTTCCAATAACTGAAACTAAGACTGGATTTAATATGTAGGTGGTAGAGAGGCCTTCTCATGGCCTGCAGCTGGGACTGGCACCAGGGTTTGACAAGCACCAGGGTTACTACTCACTGTTAGCTCCTGCAGAAACCACACCCCTAATGCTTCACCTGTATTTCAAGTTTCCAACTGAAAGACAGCTAGATTTCAAAGGGACTTCTGTGACAAACTGAGTGCAAAGTCTTTTCAGATTTAAGATCTACTCTCTGCCAATCCCTTGAGGGCTTTTCTTCTGCCCCTAACTGGGCAATATTTTTATTGGCTCATATTCATTACATCTTTCCAAAGCATTTAACTTATGTTTATAGAAAAAGCTATTCTACTTGAATTCATATGTCACTGGTTTGTGCAAAAATTAATTATGTAATTATAATAAAAAAACCTAACTGATATAAACAGCTCTACAGCTAACACCTGGCAACACAATTTACACTTGGCAAATATACAGCTCATCGGTGGGAACAGAAATATTATCAGACACATGCCACAGGCATCATATAGCATATTTCATATAGTATCCAGACAGAAGGGAGACCACTGGTTTGCTGGTGAAGTCAACCCTGTTAACCATGGCTTGATACACAACACACATTTTAGCTCTCTCTTCTACTAAGTTTATAATTTATAAGTAACCTGAAATTTACTCATTTGCTTTTCTCTTCTTGAGAATTACAGTTTAATTAAATAGTGAAGCCTATGAATGTAATCCAAAGAAATTTTTATTTAAAATGGAAAAGGTTTTTTTAAAAAAATTATAATACTAATGGTAAAGTAGCATATATATGAAAGGAGGTATATAATGGAAAAAATAATGAATTAAAATTGACAAAATGTATATGGCCTAAACATGCTCTTACTAGTTGATCATGTCATCTGGGGCAAAAGATACAAATGATCTCGACCTATAAAGTCTGATAACAATTGTAGCTTTCAGAGATGTTACCAGGAAGACAAATGAACTCTTTGTTAGATAGATACCATTTTAACTACAAGAAACCACATCACTGAGAATTACTCGTAAAACATAAATATTAGATAAGCAAAGAAATAGCATGCCAATAACATACTTACTGTTTAAGTTTTTCTGTGAATATATACTGGGTGAAGTCTTTCATTGATGGAGCAAAATACATAGTGTCCTTTATTTTAATACTGTTATTCTCAACGTGCTCTGAAGAATTAAAGCGTAACACATAAAATGGATGCGCTACAGGTCCAAATATCTCAAATATCTATGAAAGAGAAGACACATAAAGTTCTCCTTTAACTGCAAAATAAAGAAACCCGATAAACGTTTTCAAAGGTAATGCTGTCAATATAAAACCAATAAAAGTTTAAGTCATTTCTGCATACTCATAAAGCCTTCATATTTTGATCATAAGTGCATTAGCTTATTCCAGATTTCCTTTCTATGAATCTAAAATAACTGTGACAAGTTTGTTCCTTGCTAAATTTAAATCATTTTGGTGGTACCAATTACCAACCAGACGCAAATAATAAATTTTTGTTTTTGTTATTGTTCATTTAAGTTATCAGATACGAACAAAAAAATTACAGTTGGTAACGTTTGAGAAATAAAATGCTGTCATTTTAAATCTTATGAAATGGAACTTTTCGATTCTTTTAGATTCAGTCACTTTTGCTGTTTCCAGAGTTGTTAACATTTTTATAATATTAAACGACAACATTTTTAAATTCAAAAAGTAGTAAAGTAGATTTGAACTTGAAATTGTTTATTTCTCAAAAACCAAAGATACCATACAGCCTTTAACTTTTAGGTAAAGGAACTGCTTTTAGCATATCTATTATTTTATTTTTGAAAATGTTTTATAAATGATGAAAGGGAGCCCCTTGATTTCAAACTCTTCCCAATATAAATGCCTGAGTTTTTAAATATGTTTCTGCTAATAAATGTACATTATAGAAACTAGACCATGATCAGTAGCAGTGTAGATTTTTTGTCTTTTTCCTATATTTTTTTTCTTTTAGACTATATCATATTTTTGTATATTGCTCCATTTTAACTATTTTTTTTAATTGAAGCATAGTTAATTTACAATGTGTTCGTTTCAGGTGTACCTTAAAGTTATTCAGTAATACACACGTGTGTGTGTGTACTCTTTTTCAGATTCTTTTCCATGAGATTATTACAAGATGTTGAGTACAGTTCCCTGTGCTATACAGTAGGTCCTTGTTTATTTTTTATATAGTAGTAGTGTGTATCTGCTAATCCCAAACTCCTAATTTATCTCCCCCCACCCCATTATCCCCTTTGGTAACCATAAATTTGTTTTCTATGTCTGCAAGTCTATTTCTGTTTTGTAAATAAGCTCATTTGTATCATTGTTTTAGGTTCCACATATAAGTAATATCATACAATAGTTATCCTTCTCTGACTTACTACACTTACTATGACAATCTCTAGGTCCATCGATGTTGCTGCAAATGACATTATTTCATTCTTTTTCATGGCTGAGTAATATTCCATTCTATGTAAATACCACATGTTTATCCAGTCATCTGTCAATGGACATGTAAGTTGCTTCCATGTCCTGGCTACTGTAAATATAGTGCTGCTATGAACACTGGGAAGCATGTATCTTTTACAGTTTTCTCTGGATATATGCCCAGGAATGGGATTGCTGGATCATATGCTAACTCTACTTTCAGATTATTGAGGAACCTCCATACTGTTCTCCATAGTGGCTGCACCAGTTTACATTCCCACCAGCAGTGTAGGAGGGTTCCCTTTACTCCACACCCTCTCCAGCATTTATTATCCGTAGACTTTCTAGTGATGGCCATTCTGACTGGTGTGAGATGATACCCCATTGTAGTTTTGCCTTGCATTTCTCTAATAATTAGAGATACTGAGCATCTTTTCATGTGCCTGCCTATTAGCCGTCTGTATGTCTTCTTTGGAAAAATGTCTATTTAGGTCTTCTGCCCATTTTTTGACTGGGTTGTTTATTTGTTTTTTTAAATATTAACCTGAGCTATTTGTTTATTTTGGAAATTAATCCCGTTGGTAGCATCACCTGCAAATATTTTCGCCCAGTCTGTAGGTTGTCTTTTCTTTTGTTTATAGTTTCCTCTGCTGTGCAAAAGCTTTTAAGTTTAATTAGGTCTCATGTGCTTATTTCTGCCTTTATTTCCATCACTCTAGGAGACAGATCTAAAAAAATATTGCTGCGATTTATGCCAAAGAGTGTTCTGCCTATGTTTTCCTTTAGGAGTTTTATAGTATCCTGTCTTACATTTAACTCTTTAATCCATTTTGAGTTTATTTTTGTAATATGGTGTTACAGAATGTTCTAATTTCACTCTTTTACATTTACATTTACAGAATGTTCTAATTTCACTCTTTTTACATTTGTCCAGTTTTACCAGCACCACTTAATGAAGAGACTGTCTTTTCTCCATTGTAATATGCTTGCCTCTTTTGTTGTAAATTAACTGACCGTAAGTGCATGAGTTTATTTCAGGGTTTTCTATCCTGTTCCACTGATCTATTACTCCCTTTTAAAACCTAAAGTTTCTTTAAGTTTTTTCATGTTAAATGTATTCTTCATAAGCATAATTTCTGTGGCTATTTAACACTTTTTTATATATTTAGCAGAATTTATTTAATTTGTATTATATTGTAGAACACTGAGATAGCTTCCAATTTGTTCAGTGTAATAAATGATGCCCCATAATGAATAAAGATGAATAAATAAAGAATAATGAACACCTGTATCTGTAAATCTCTGTACTTCAGATTTCCTGAAAACTGATTTGTAAGGAATGGAATTATTGGAGCCAAAAGCATGATTATTATTAAAACTCTTGATTTAGGCTACTAAACAACTTTCCAAATACCTTAGACCAATTTAAACCAACTGCATTAAAAGTACCTATCTTATTACATCCTCAGTTGCTGATTTTTTATTGTTAAAGTTCTCATTTGTTAAAAAGTAAAACAAAAAATAACAAAAACAAAACCTGCTTGAACAAATGCTCAAAACTAAATGCAAAGAAATTCAAGTTATATAGGTATAACAGGTGATATAGGTTGGTCACTTTTTAAAAATCCCCTAATATTAAAGAACTCACATTAAAAATGGAATTCCATTCACTAATTATCAAGAACTAATCATTATTAGGATTAAAGTGCAAAAGTAGAAATTCAAATCTGAGGTTGCCCTCCTTAAATCAGTGGGAAAGGGGGAGGGAGGTGGAAGGGGAAAAAAATATCAGACCACCTGGGTTGTAAACTCCAATTTGTTCCTTTTTAGCTATTGTGATTTTTGAGTAAATGGGGATAATTCCACTTCCTTACAGTTTCAGTGAAATTTAAAATTTTAAAATATACACAAAACATTCAACACTGTAGCTGATCATTATTGTTATTGAAGATGAGAGGGAAAAGGAAGGACGTGCAAAGGTTTAACATTAAATGTTAAAACCAATTTAGTGTCTGGATAAAATATGCTAAATATCTAAGAGATTCAATTTCATTTTCTGATCACTGGTTTGTTTAACTGATACTCTCAACCCTCCACACCTCCACTATTATCTTGGGGATTATTTCAAGGTGCTTAGATTTGTAATCAAATATTTTTCAAAGACTTGTCACTTCTTGAATTTACAAAGCTTTCTATGTAAATATTATATTTTTATCCGACTTGTAAATATTTCTATGTAAATATTATATTTTTATCCGACTTGTTCCAAGGTCAAATGACAGAAGGGCTGAGTATTAATATTATTCAGGACTGAAAATTCAAATGTACTGGGGGATATAAGAAGTGTGAGTTTAGAGGTTTTCAAAATTAGTGAAGTGTTGAGTATACTGAAATTGAAATTGTCTAAGTTAGCTATTAAAGAAAAAGGAACTGTCATGAAAATCATAAATAAAAGGAATCATGGAAATGATCAGTTTCAATTCAGTCAAGAAGAGCAGGAAGTGCATTTCCCTTGCCTCTGCTACCAGGCCTCCCCTGAGGAGGCACACCAGCCTGCCTGTGCATGGAGACCTCCCTCCCCAGCAGTGTCAACCCACTTCCACTCCTCTCTCTCTCAGCAGCCTCCAAGGCTAAGCCCCTAGAATCTCTCTAACCCCTTACAAAGGCACCAGCAGTAAATAGGGTTTGCTCTGTATTGCAGTACTTCTTCTTCTGAATCAAAAGCACTGAGATTCATACTTGAAACAAAAGTACTAAGCCTAGGTATTTGAAAGGAAGAAAAGCACAGCACCATCCTTCAGTATTAAAAAGTCTTTCTTCTCTTCGCAAACTTTCTCAAGAATTGCCAAAATGTATTAGCTCTAGACCCCAATTAATTCTGCTGCTGACTGCTTTGCAATCGTTAAGAGACTCACTTCTCTTTGGTAAATTAGTCTGGTGACCTAAAAAGTAGGTAGTACAGTGTGGCAGGACCCTGATAAAAGCCTGATCCCTTTTTAATTTGTGTTAGAATGGAACAGCAGAAAAAGGCATACAAAAGGGAAAGTTATGTGAGTTGATCTAATAATATAGTTCAAAATAATGTGCTTTTTTCTGATTAAACACAAACTATATCTCTCCGAACAAAAAAAGACACCAACTGCTGCTTATCTAGGAAAAAATAAACCCAGAAAGTTGCTTCTCCAAAGATAGCAGCTAGTTTCTTACCTGTTTGTTTTCAACTCAATACATATTTACTCAGCACATATAATTTACAAAGGACTGTACTACACACAGTGGGGAGTCCCGAGGTGAATATAACTCTGTCCCTGCTGCCAGAAAAAGAACACCTGGTTGGTATTTACATTCTTCATCTTGGACGGTTTTACATCCTCTGCTGACCGCTCTGAATTGTTATTTGCTGGGTAAAATGTGGGGTCTTTCCTCCCTCTTAAGGTTGGACATGCAGCATGTGGGGTTGTTCCATTAGTAAGACATTAAAAGGGACCCAACCTTTCGATGATAGACATATTCATAATTCCCCAGAAAGTGCCTACAGTGACATTTTACTGCTATCACTGAAATCTTTTTCCACTTGAAAAATTCCACTCTCAGCTTCCACCTGAGGAAGGCAAAGTCTAAAAAGTTTTGGGAGCCACTATTCAAAGGGCCTCACAAACCAAAAAAGTGTATGAACAACTATGCAGTGGAAAGTCTCCTGCACCTAACTGAGTACCTGGAGGAACTGTATCTTATTCAATACACAGACCCACTGCCTGGCAAACAACCTGACAAACATCAGGAAAAAACTGTATACATGTGTATTTAATGGCACAAACAGCAAAGGATAATAAGCAGTATTACACCAATGTAAAGGCAGACACGAAGTACTGAAGAAAATCGGGAATGTACTAAAATTTGAGAGCTCTAGATTGCTCATGTACTAAAATTAATAAACTTTTTAAGACAGCAAAAGTCAGAAAAACCAATCAACAAAGAAACAGGATAATTAGTAGGATCTGAATATTTTTTTACAAACCTTTCCTGCTGCCTGTCGATCACTTTTAAAAACTACAGTCTCCTCATTAACTGGAGGTACGTTAGTCATAGATTCAATTATTACTGAAAAATGAAACAAAACAGATTATTTCAAGATTTAATCAGAAAATAATGTAGAATTTAAATGAGAATTTAGGCTTTAATTCCAACATAATTTAAAATGAAATTTAAGGTGGGATAATATACCTCAGTAACTATTTCTCTTGGATAAAAAAACAAAGTCTATTTATTACCAAGTAGCACAGGGAAATAAATGCTACATTATTTTATTTTACATGAAAGCTACAATTCTAAGAAAAAAAACATTAAAGTACAAAATCTCACAGAAAATTGGAATCATCCATTAAGACAACAAATTCAAGCTGATCATTTTCTCAAGCACTTTTTACCCTAAAAAGAATAATCTCACATTTAGTCACTAACTCCTGTTTTAGAAGAAATTAGTCTTCTTTCTCACCCTAGAAATTCTCTTCTGCCAAGCACTGATTACTTACTGATATATGAAAAAGTTAGATTTCACAAATATATTTTCCTCTGAACAGCTGAAGTAAGAATGATAGAACTCCCAGTAATTTTTACCATTTCCCTTCTCAAAAGGCAAAAAGCATTATTCCACTGGTCTAGCACAATCTCCAATTCATGTAAGTGCCACAAACGTCAAACAACCAATCTACCACAGCAAAGAGGAAAACAAACATACACACCTCAAACAGACACACACACACACACACACACACACAATAGGTTCTTAGAAAATTAAAGCAACAAACAAGAATACTCTGTCACATTAAACAGATAATGAATGCCGTCTCCACTTGGAAAATTAGTGGAAATATTGAAGCATTTCCACTTGAACATCCACTTGAAATATTAGTTCAGATTATTAAAATCCATTCAAAGATTTTCAATTGTATCCCAATTAATTTCAAGAGCTAGTGCTTCTAAGTTCTGAACATGCACATAAGGAATAGATCACAGGTCAACAATTTTTGAGTTAGATCTGTTCCTGGAATAAAGATGAAAGGATAGGTAATAACAGTGAGCAGAATTTATTCTCAGTCTTCTCTCCCTCCCAATCCTCCTCTCAAGGAGTCAAAAATTACATGAAAATTAAAAATCACCTAATCCAAAACCCTCATTTTATAGAAAGGTAAGAAAACAGTACTCAAGAGATTAACATGATTACATGGTCAAATCCAGACAGAGCTATCACCACAACCTAGTGGACTAATACTTATTGTACACTCCTTTCTGTAAAAGGTCCAAATAGTGTTAGATGTTTTAAGCTTTCCAAACAGAGTGTGCAACAAGCATTTATTGATACAACAGTAACATGTGCTGTTTGATTCATTACTCTTTATTCCCACCAGGTTGAAAATTCTGTTAGTCTATTAAGATGTGTTATTCAAAACAGTATCCTCGAAAAGCATTAGTCCATGTGTATCATACAGCTTACAATTTCTTTCCCTTGAGAATAAACATTATGACCTAAATTTCTTCTATATACATCAAGTCCAATAAATTCCTGTCTGACTTATTTGTGCATATTAAATACCATAAGATAATTCAAAAACTAGTAAATGTAATGACTCAACAGTGATGTAAAGAGTTTTAATTATGATTTTTGTAAAAAAGTTTCATTTTAATTGGAATTTTCATTAATAAACTGCAAAATTAGATAAGAATTAATTTTTAAAATAGTGATATAGACACATAAAAAGATCAAAAAGACATTTCCATTTCTACCATTGACAGATCACAAGTGACCTGAATTTTTTTTTAAGACCTTATCTTTTTTTTTTTTAATTAATTAATTATTTTTGCTGTGTTGGGTTTTCGTTTCTGTGCAAGGGCTTTCTCTAGTTGTGGCAAGTGGGGGCTACTCTTCATCGCGGTGCGTGGGCCTCTCACTATCACAGCCTCTCTTGTTGGGGAGCACAGGCTCCAGACGTGCAGGCTCAGTACCTGTGGCTCACGGGCCTAGTTGCTCCGCGGCATGTGGGATCCTCCCAGACCAGGGTTCGAACCCATGTCCCCTGCATTAGCAGGCAGATTCTCATCCACTGCACCACCAGGGAAGCCCCAACCTGAACTTTTTTATGCCTCTTAAGTCATAAACTAAGGACTGGTGGACAGTTTAGGTCCTTTTCCCATTTCAAAAATCCTAAAACTTGGGACTTCCCTGGTGGTCCAGTGGTAGAGAATCCACCTTCCAATGCAGGGGACGTGGGTTCGATCCCTGGTCGGGGAACTAAGATCCCCCATGCCATGGGGCAACTGGGCCCATGTGCTGCAAATTACAGAGCCCACACACTCTGGAGCCTGCACGCCACACTAGAGAGAAGCCAGCATGCTGCAATGAAGAGCCCACGCACCGCAACGAAAGATCCTGCACGCCGCAACTAAGACCCAACACAGCCATAAATAAATAAATGAAATATTTTTAAAGAAATCCTATGACTTTGTCAACTCTGAGTCCTATTTTTAGGTGTCTATTACTAAAGAGGTAATGGTAGCGACATTAATTTCAAAGTCTCTCCTATACGTACTTCACATCCTGGGGCTAAAAGAAATCTGTAGAACCTAGTTCCCATGTATTCCAGTGGGTTCATATTTCATGATATTAATATCGGTGTTAAATCACAGAACTTTCTAATTTACATGTTTATAAGATAAAATCAAAGGCAATAGGCAGATTACCAGTCCTCTACCCACCACCCCACAAACAAAAAAAAGACATCCACACCCTAATCCCTGAACCTGTGGATGTTACTTTATGTTAAAAAGGAGACCTTGCCGATGTGATTAAGGTTAAGGACCATGAAACAGGAGATGATCCTGGATTACGTGGGTAGACCCCACCTAAGGAGTCCTTAAAAGCAGGGAACGTTTTCTAGGCTGCAGTCAGAGGGACAGAGGGACACGTGATAAGGAAAGAAGGTCAGAGAGAAGCTACATTATGAGCTTTGAGAATGAAGGGAGGGGGCCATGAGCCAAGGAAGGCGGCAGCCTCTAGATGCTGACAAGGTCAGGAATATGAGGATTCTCCCTCAGAGCCTCCAGAGAGGAACTCAGCCTGATGGACCCCTTGATTTTAGCCAGTGGGATCCATATCACACTTCTGGCCCACAGAACTGTAAACTAATAAATGTGTTGTTTTAAGCCACTAAATTTGTAGTAATTTAACAGCAATAGAAAATACACCAAATCAAAGAAATTCTGGAGAAGTATGTCAGTAAAAGCGCACTTTAAATTTTTATAAAGACACTGTATTTATGTATTACTTGTATAAGCAAAAACTGAATTTATCTGTTCAAACCTAATGACTGTAAAATGAAGTGTTATTACATCTTTCAGAGAAAAGTTACCAGTCATAAAGTCTTTGATTTCATTATTAGTACATGCTTGGATATAAATGATAATTTTTATTAATAAAAATATTTACATACCTAATTGTTCAATAATACTTGAAACCATCCCAAGAGGCTTTAATTCAATACCTTCAGGGAGAACAATAGTGAGTTCTTCAACAGTAGGCAGTTCCTGAAATATAAGAAAGCATTAACCTTCCTCCAGCTTCAACAAGTTAACTTTTAAAAAAAGGACGGTTTCGGGCCTCCCTGGTGGCGCAGTGGTTGAGAGTCCGCCTGCCGATGCAGGGGATACGGGTTCGTGCCCCGGTCTGGGAGGATCCCACATGCCGCGTAGCGGCTGGGCCCGTGAGCCGCGTAGCGGCTGGGCCTGTGAGCCGTGGCCGCTGAGCTTGCGCGTCCGGCAACGGGAAAGGCCACGACAGTGAGAGGCCCACATATCGCAAAAAAAAAAAAAGGACGGTTTCCATGTAGAGTGCTACACCCGTTTCTGAGACATAACATTAAGTACTTGTCATCTCTTGGATGTTGTCCTTTTCAGTGTCTGAGCATTTCTGTGCCCCTTCAACATCTCCCCACCTAAGTGACTCAAGCGATCTAGTGTCTACAGCCTAACCCATAAGAACACAGGCCTGAAGACCATTCTAGATTTTTCTAATCATACTTGGACAAGAAACCACCCTCCCCCTCCCCCCAAAAACTGCTGTTAAGGAATCCAAGGTAAAGAAGAGAGATAACTCACAGAGTAACTCCCAGAGACATTCCATTCGAAGAGAAATATTTCCAGTTTCTCCAAACAAGGAGAGTTCTCTGAGCTGTCTTAATGTGGTTGGTTAATTAATTTGACTGTGGTTAAACAGCTGAACAGAGAAACAGCTAATTTTTCTGGGGCTGTGTGAAAGAGATGAATTTCTGGCCTCTTCAAGAAAAAGTACAGAATTCCTGGAAACAGAATGTAAGCTTCAGTCCAAAAAGTTGTGAAGGTGCTGCCTGATTATCTTCCCTGTCTAGGTTAAAATCCAAATTTTTTTTACAGCTAAAGATTTCTCTTTTCTGACCCAGCTGCTAACTGAATGTCAGCTGCTCAGAAACTAGATATTGAAGTAGAGATGAAGTTGAATAGAAATCTAAGAATAAAGCAGACCTTAGGCTTTAAATTAAATAAGCAGAGCTTTCTATTCTTCACCTTTGCTAAATGATCACAACTGACTCTTCGAAGGAAGTTTTTCCTTAAGGAGGGCTTGAAAGTGCAAAGATCTTATTAATGGCATGTTGGGGTTAGTCTGAGAGAAAAAAGGTTACTTTTGGAGAAATGTTAGAAAAGACAGGAAAACCTAAATTATACAGTGCATTGCAGATGAGCATATCTTGGGTAATCATTTTCTTCTATGGGAACTCAAATGGAGGTTTTTAACAAAATCACTTAACCAGAGCAAAAGCATAATTTTCTTCTGTGGATGCTACCTTCCGATCAAGGAGTAGTTATGAAAAGCCACATTAAGGGTCTCAGCCAACTCAATGCAGAAGACGTACCTCTGTATGGTTAGCCTGGCCTGTGTTGAAGAAAATGATTGTGTTTTATATGTCGGAATTTTCCTGAGTACTTTTAAGGAGAGGACGACCGCTTGTCATTTTATCATATTAAATATGAAAAGCCTTTTCTTGGCAAAGACCATGGTTTGAAAATGCTCCATGTGTGTATCAGAATAGAGAAGGGGGTTCAGTTGTTAGAAGAAACTGGTAAATGTGGCATGGAACAGCCTTGTTTAAGAAGTTCTTAGCTAAAGAAACTCCGTACCCTATGAAATATGAGACTGGAGGACTATAATGCTGGGGGCTGCAGGCAGGAGGCTTTAATGATAGAGGGCAATGTGACAGGCATCTCACAAGGACTCTGGCTCTGGGAGTAGCGGCTCCTACAAAAGGCTAATGGCATCTTCTAATGCAGCAGCACAGTGATGAAATCTGCCCCGCTGCCTCACCAAATTATAGTTAAGGTCTAGAGCAAAAACTTTCATTCCTTCTGGACTGTGATAAAGCCGGCTGGTTAAATAAAGCCAGGACTGTGTAGGTAGAGGAAAGGAAGAAAAGAGGAAATGCTGTTAGATCTTTTATGAAAACCTCTGAACTGGGTATGAGGGCAGATTGTATGCCGTTAACACTTAGGACACAAAATCAGCACTATTCTCAAATAAATAAATGCTATTTGACCACAAAATGGAAGGCTCCTTGTTTTGTGTGTTCTATTAGGAGGAATTTAAGGCCCATGCAATATAATTATGTTTTGGTACAAACCTAAACTCTGGTACTATTTTGATCTTTTTTAACTTTAAAGTACAAAAGTTATACATGCCCCTTTTTTAAAAAAAAATAAAAACTGAAGTAGTATAGAAGGATACGAAGTAAAAAGCAAAAATTCCTCCCACCCTATTCCTTTCAACCTTCCAGTTCCTCTCCATAGATAGCTGTTAACAGTCTTTCAAATACACTTACTATACGGACACAAACTTAACATTTAACTTTGATATGTTTCACTTAACTAAAGTACCCACATTGTAATATAAGCTATCCTTTTTATCTATTATATCTTCCACATCTTTCTACACCAAAACATAAGTATCTATCTTATTTAAACACTCTTACAGTGTTCCACCGTATAGATGTCCTATAATTAGTATACCAATCACCTGATACAACATTTATCTGCAGTTTTAATTTTTATCATTACACAAAATGATACAATGAACGTTCTTTAAAACATATCTTTGTGTAACTCCTATGATAAATTCTTCTAAGTGGAACTGCTAGATCCAAAGGTATAAACATTTTTAATTTTGACAGATACTGCTAAATTTCTTTTCAAAAAGGTTACATCAATTGACACTTCCACGAAAAATGTATGAGAGATTTTCCTACATCCTTGCCATCACTAAGAAGCAAACTTTACATCTTTGCCCGTCTGATTGGTCTAAAACAGTATCTTGCCTTAATTTGAATTTCTTCATTAATCAGGACATGTTTCCTGGCTACCTGAGTGTGTTTATGAATTGCTTGTATACTTTACACACATTTCTTTTGGAAGGTTTATCTTTTTATCAATTTATAAGAAAACTTTGGGGTTTTAAGAACATTTGCTCTTTATCCACTACGTAGCAAATATCCACTCCCTTACCTCTCACCATGTTTTTTAGCATTTAAGTTGTTTACTAAACTCTGGCATTTAACTACACCAAATACATTAATCTTTTCATTTTTTTCGACTTTAAAACTCGTGTCACATTTAGAAAGACCTTCCCTATACTAAGATGACTTAAGATTCACTGATACTTTCATCGCTTCTCTAGTTTCAAATTTTAAAATTGTCTGAACACAAGAAAACACCATGCTGAGATTTATGTCTGTATTCACTGTATTACCATATTTTCAAAACAGATAAGTCCTCCTCCTCCTTTTCAATATTAGTATATCGCATTTTTCACTTTTCAAATGACACTGGTTGGTATGACCACAATACAATTGTGATGATAGTAAGCGTGATGTCTGACTATTAGGAATGTTTCAAATGGTAAGCATAATAATGTATTTTGATTGGAACTTTTTATAAGGTTAAGAAAAGTATTCACCTATTCCTATTTGTGTGTGTTTGGTTTTTTTAAATCAGAAATGACTGTTGAACTTTACCAAATGCCCTTTCATGATTTTTTAATATCATCACCACATAATTTACTGTAAGTTGAGCAGGTCAGACTACAGGGTCTAATGGAGTCCTGATGTCCTTCCTGCTCTAAGGATATCTACGAGACATCCAGCATGAGGGAGACAAGGGAAGGTAAACAAAGCCAGAATATCTGTAGTGAGGCAGGGACTCACACCTGTGGTCAAAACACAGTCTGGGAGACTCCCTTAACTCCTGTTACTACCCTGTTTCAAACCTATGTACTAACAAAACAAAAAGTTTTGCCTTCAAATGGGGAGGATCTCTGATCTCATGTAGAACCAAAACTTAGAACACAGACACCACACTTCTAATTCCAATTCAGCTACCTCAGTACTCTGTAATGGGGGAATGCATGCATAGTTTTCTGAGATTCCTAAAAATGGCCAATGAAGGCATCAAATTGCTTCTTGATGGTAAAAGACCCCACCTATAAAAGCGATATGCATGAAGTCTCTATACCAAATGCTCTGCAGAACACAAAAGGTATATAAAGAACCAAATATTATACATATAACTTGTTAAGAGAAAAGTGAAATCAGCCTAGTGCAATTCCAGGTTGAGATCAAGAAGTAAAACCAGCCTTGTATGATTCCAGGTTAAGAGCCTGTTCTGGAGCCTTTGAAAGTCCAGTTAAGTCAAGCAGTATATCTGCTTTGGAAATAGCATTTTGGGGACTGAATCAAGGGAGAAAAGAGATATTAGCTCCTCTTAAACGAGCATACTAGGAGAGGAAAAGGATAAAGGGGGGGGGGAAGAATCTCCCAAACTCCCTCAACAATTCATCCAAGGGATGTGCTTTCCATGAAGATTTTTGGCAGGTTTGAAGGCAGAACTTTAGACGGTTCAAAGGGAAAGTTTCTGGACTACAATGTCAGACCATTAATACAAGATCTGATCTTGATATGTAGATGTCACAAGTTACCTTATCTACTAATTTAAAGAACTACTAATCTAAAGAACTGCACCACCACCAAGCCTAGTCACTCTTCATCAAATTATCCTGTGGCTTTGCTCTCTTGTAAATACATTACCGTCTAACATAATATTTGTTTACCTGCTTAAAGTCTTTCCCTACCCAGACAATAAATCCATCAACAACTATAGGAACCAGGTCTGCCTTGCTTGTTGCTATAGTAGGAACAATGGCGAGCACATAGTAGGTGCTCAGTATAAATTTATTAAATGAATTGGCTTAGCTCATCAGTCCAAGCTAGAAAAAAATCTCAGAAGAGGTCGCAAACTTTTTCAGTCAGAGCAGAAATTAGATAATGAAAACACAATTCTTAAAATTCAAAAGAGAATCCTCAAGGAATGAAAAGGACCTCAACCCGACCTTCTCAAAAACAAAGTAAAAAAGGCAGGCTTCCAATTAAGCTTCACTGCCCAGGACTGATGCACAGATACCTCAGATTTGCAGTGGCAAACATTACTACAGCCATTAGATTAACACCTGG